AATAGCAAATGGTTACCGGCAAGAGTACATAGGCTCGTCGCGAGAAGTTTTGCAGTGTCTAGGAGGATTTGGGTGAGGATTTGCTCGAGGTCTAGCGAATGTACCGTTTACGTAGCGTAGATCATGCAGCCTTATCTTCCTATTGGTCAGCTCTCACAAAAATGCCTCATGAATTCACCAATTATCTTGCGTATAAGGAAAAAAAGGGCATAAGAGACGATTGGTATCCTCGGCATGCAGATGGTAGTATCTATAAAATCACAGCGTGAAGTGACTTGCACAGTCCGCGTTAATCGAGACAAGAGCAATGCATCACGCCCAACGCTGAGCCAAGATCGATGTGACGAGGAGAGCAAAGCATTACTAAATCTGAAGGTTATAACGAAATAAAAGAAGCACACTGCACAGGCACAAGATTTGTAAATATAGTCGTCATTAAATTCGTGATTACATTAAACAAAATTCGTGTCCTTTCAACGCTCCATCTTCTCCAACCCTCACGATACCATCTAGCGCCAAACAGCCGCTGGCGTGGAAAACCAGCCCCAACCGAACCCAAACCCAAACCAAAACCAAAACCAAAACCAAAACGGGGGTATAAAACACAACTAAGAAACCGCAAGACAGCCTCCCACCACCACAGCAGCACGCCTACGGGTCACCAGCCAATGCAGCCGCAACCATGATATCAATCCCACTCGCATGCGTACTCGGATTCCCATTCTGACTGGACCCCTGCCACAAATCCACAATGACACCACCATCCACCCTCGGTTGACTCCTCGCCGCATTCGCATTCCGATAGAAGAACTCTTTAACCCCCTGCTGCGGCGCATTCTCATAAAGCGTCGATAAACCCCGTACATACGCGCCTTTGAATTGCGAGCTAACGGGGTCGAGAGGTCCTCCAACAGGTTCAGTGAGAATACCGCTTCCATCGCTGAGTTTGGTCGTCGAGGCCACGGCGAGCTTGTACGCTTCTTCAATGTAGTCGCCGTTGTTTTTCGCGCGCGCAAGTTCAGAGAGGCCGGCTAGGACGATACCTTGGTTGTATGTGAAGGTTATTCCCTTGGGTTTGCAAGTCGTGGGGTCGATGCCATCGTTGATTAGTTCGTCGCTGTTGATCATACCAGATTTCGTGAACCAATCCCATTCCATTGAAGCCCAGTTGGTGTAGTCTTCTTTTTGCTGGCCGTCGACACGGTTGGCGATGTGGGCGGCGACGGAGAAAAAGAGCTCATTGGAGATGGCGGCAATGTAGTCGCGGTCTTTTGACCACCAGAGACCGCCGTTGCAGGGCGTGTTCCAGCCTGTGGTCATGTCTTCGAAGATGTCTTTGGCGGCATTGAGGTACTTGACGTCGCCCGTAAGATCGTACGAGGCGATCCAGCCCATTGCCCACCAGCCTTCGTCGTCGTAGAACTTGTTTCTCCATTGCGTTGCACCATGCTGGTTTGGGGATTTGGCGAAAGTGTTGGAGACGATCATGAGGGCGTACTCTTTGAAGGCAGCATCTTGGATACCAAATCGGGCGATGGCCTCAATAATGTTGCCGGACTGCCACCATAAGTCGTTCCTGGTTGAAGTCAGATATGCCGGTCGCGTGAAGTGGAAAGCTACTTACCATAAGCCAGTATCGTAGTTGTACCATTTTTCTTGCAGAAGTTTGATGGCAGTAAAGGCGTCGTCGGCAAAAGTATCGGCATGCGCAGATATAGAGTAGAGAAGAGGTACCAATAACGCTGCGAAGAACTTCATGGTGGATTAAGCAATAGCGATAATAAGAATTATTGGAATACTTTGAGTCTTGAAGAAAGATGATTGCCTTATGAGAAAGTAACCATGAGCGGAGACGACCCCGTCTCTGTTTTATGTTCCCAACAACCGCAGTGGCAGCAACGGTAGCGACCTCAGCCTCGAAACTTTAGGCAAATGTATCAAGGAAACAGACTGTATGTTGGCGTGTGAGAGCGATCCCAGTAGCGGCAGCGGCAGTGCCACAACGCCCAGAACCCCAAGAGAGTACTTTGTACAAGCAAAACTGTTCGCGGTACTGAACGTGCCTATGGCAATGTGTGTAGCATGAAGTCATCCCTGCTCTTACTACTCTCGAGCTATTGTTAGAAGCCTGTGGCACAGCCAGCGAGGCGGCCTTGGGATTGTCAGGCATGGAGACTCATGCGGGCGAGGGCCGTGGGCGAGTCAATACATGTGATAGACAACATGCCCATACACCAAACGGTGGGATTTGGTACTGTACAGCGGTAAATAAAATTAGGTTTGTCGGAGCCTGATCGACGTGGACCCTATCATGAAGCGACTATCGTTTAAGAGAAGCGCTAGAGCGGATCTGATCTGAAACACGGGGAAGATAGGATGGAAAACCATTTTGTACGGCAAATAAGGGAGATTGAAGGTTCATTGGGTGTTTATCTGTGATATTGCCTGTTTCGTCAGTTAGCTTGTGGCTTGTGAAGAGTTGCCCAGCCTCACAGACGCCTGCATGCAGGAGCATCGCGTGCGGCAGACGATCCTTTGGTCGAGACTTTGCGCGACGGCGAATGCACAACATATCGGCGATACTTTCGAGCACCGAGGAGTCTCGAGTAGATGCAACCCCAGCAAGACAGTCGTCGAACATTGTTGGTGCTGCTCATCAAACACGAGCTTCGGAGGTATGTTGACAGCTAGCACGACACACTCGGTGTTGGCAGTTTGGAGTGCCAGAGACGATCTTCGCCAGGCGCTATCGATATCTGTTGTGCCGCGTCGCAGGCATTGTCTGAGTTGTGCGCAGATTCATCCCCAAGGATGATCATAGTCGGCTTGCTGAGACGGCCGCATGTACCTCGCCGCACGGCAGCATGGGCAATGGCAAATTCTCCGATCTCAATTTGAGGCATCACCGGCGAACATGAACAGGCCAATCCTTCATCCTATTGCTACCGCTGTGGGACAGACTCGGTGTTGAGCGCGTGGTGGTTGGCAAGACTCGACTTTGCTGCTGACGCTGTGAGATTAGCCAAGGTCCACAGCAAACAACGCAGAGCTCAACCACGGATAACGGCCCGCTCGTGCAAAAGGACAGTCGATCATAATTGTGCGCAGCATGTGCACTTGTTCAATCCAGCGGCCAAAGGATGGGTCGTCACATTGACGATGTTGACGAGATGAAAAGTGGGTTCTTCGCGACAAATGTCAAACAAGTTTTCGCTCAGCGGCAAAAGGCCAGGAATAGTAACGACTCTCATGCGCTCCTGCCTGAGAATCATTTTCCATTTGTGTGGGTGCGAGCGGGATGATAGAGTAGAACCTGGACGCGTCGAGCTCTGTAAGACGTCTGTACGCGTCTGTCGGGCTGATGTGGCGTAGCAATGACGCTAGTCACGTGCTGCGTGACTTTTTCGTGCCACCAACATACGTCAGCGGGGTACTACCCCACTCAACCTTTCAACCGTTCGTGTACCCGACTTTGGCAAACAACGGCTTCTGCTCCGGATTATAGCTTGAGGCTAGAAGTAGGGTGGGGGATAGTCTATCAGGATCAAGAAGGTACTTGAGACTAACCTGACGCTACCAACTATCTCTTTACTACGCTACCAACTATTCACTTGAAAAAGCATTCGCAGCGGAGGGGGAACCGCGGTAACACATGCCCCTCGTTCCAACTTGTCCAGCACATCTTAGCCTTTAGTGGGGCAGTGATCCTCCTGCGGCAAACGATCTGGAACATGTATCCACCTTGAGCCGTGGCCGGATGACGCGAATGCCATGCAAAGGCGCCAGATTGCCATCAATCACACCGTGCGGAAGTAGTGATCTACCAATCGTGGCCGTCTGTGGCGCCTGCAAACTGGTATACATCCTGGCAGTTCTACCATGTGAAGGAACAAGTAACAAGGCCCACTAAGCACTGCGCTGCCCTCTCTCACCCACACCCTTTGCAGCTGCTCGTCTGGAGACATATGACGTACGACTCTCATGGCGCGTCACTGCCGCCTGGACGATGCACAAAGGTAGTATATAAGAGTGTCTCTGCTGTCTTGTCCTCGAACCTTCATCACACAATCAATTCTCAAACTCCATCAAACTACAACTACCACTTTCAAACCTCCAACCAACCAACCACCTACCAACAACCAACATGTCTGACTCCATGCGCAAGGGCCTCGGCGAGCAGGTCTCCGAGAAGGGTAAGCTCACTCTTCATCCAAACATGCAGTCCAGGACAACCGTCTAACAGCTATCACAGTTACCCCCGACTCCCAGAAGTCCACCACCCAGAAGGCCAGCGAGAGCCTCACCGGAGCTGGTGACCGCATTGCCGGCGCCGTCCAGCCTGGTACGATACCTCCCCCTTTCTCTTTCTCGCATCGAACACGTACTAACATAACCCACCAGAGGGCCAGAAGTCCGCCGGACAGAAGATCGGCGACGCGACCCGCTCCGGCGGCGACGACGCGTCCGCCCAGGGCCAGGGCGTCATGAAGCAAGCCCAGGACGCTCTCGGCAACGCTGGCCAGAGCATCTCCGACACCCTCTCCGGCGCCACTGGCCAGAAGAAGTAAAGCACTCTCTTCTTGTTTGCCTGGTAGCCACGATGCCTTCTTCCTCCTCTTTGTTGTATGGCATAAAGACCTGAGAATGGACCCACATGATACTGCGACGGATGGAACGAAACATACCCTTTCGGCGTGAAAGCCACGTATCTATATACCCTACCAATGAATGAAATAATGACTTGATCAAACATACTTGCGCGTTTGCCGTGACGTCTTGCACGATCGTTCTGTGAGCAGGTATATGTGAGTGTATGCTTCGATTGTCGACATGTCGCGAGGAAGATTTTCTCTGGAGCATAACAACGACGTTTGGTCTGTAGTGTTGTCACGTTCACCATCAGTGCGACACGACGTGAAGCTTCATGAACATTTTCAAGTCCCATCATTAGACAACCACCTTAGACATGGACGAGCTTCCTTGATAAAACTTAGCCACGCCTACAAGTCCTCGTCTTCCACCTCCTCCATCGACACATGGTTAAGCTTATTCTCCGCCGTCCTCGCTTCCCCAGATATACCCTCCATCTGCCCTTGGGCCTCCGCAGCCATCATCTCATACTCGGCTTCTTGCACCGCAGCCTCGGCCACCTGTTCTGCCGCATCTTTCACACTTGCATTCTGCACGCCTCTCAAGAAGGCGTCTAGTTCTTCCTCGTCGGCCGTTTGCGCCGCCGTCTTCTTCTCCGCTTGCTCTTTCCCTGCTGCCGTCGACTCGTTCTCCTCCTCCTCTTTCTTCTTCTTCTCATTCATATAACCTTCCTCCCTCAGCTTGTCAAATTCTTCCGGCTCGAGTAGGCGTCCCTCGCCCTTTGCCAATTTCATCTTCTGCGCCACGGACGCGGGCATGAATTTGGTTGCTTCCTTGCGCAGATCGCGGACTTGGGGCGCGGCTTCGTAGACAATGGTTGGTTTCTTTGGTTCGGGGGCAGCGGCGGCGGCGGTAGCAGCAGAAGCGTCGTCTTGTTCGGGCTGGAGGAAGCGTTTTGGTATTGGCGGTGGTGTGTCGCGTGGCATGGGTATGCGCTTCACGTCGTCGTCGGTGTCACTACTATCCGTGTCTTTGCGCTGGCCGTCTCGTGATCTCTTGCCCAGGACGCCGGCGCGTCGGTCTCTCTGCTCTGCGCCCCTCTCTCTATTATCATTGTTGTTGTTGTTGTTGTATTGTCGCTCTGGTTTGAAGACTGGTGCTTTGTCCCCCAGCGCCGCGCGCGCCTTGTTCACTGCTGCGAGATCCTTCTCCAGCTCCTCTAGCCGCTGTCGCTCATGTGGCCGTATGGCGCCGCTCTGGTCGAGTTCTTTGAGGTTGTCAATGTCGCGCTGTATGCGATGTGGGTTTCTGCGCGCGAGTTTCTCGTTGCGCTGGGTCTGGAGGTTGGCCTTTTGCTTGCGGATCTGCTTCTGCTTCTCGGCCTTTTTGGCTTCTTGGACGGGGTTGTAGTTCTTCTCCTTGGCCATTTTGACGGTTCAAGGGTATGTGGAGTAGTAGTAGTGGTAGTAGTAGTAGTAAGTGTCGCATGGAAATTGAGAAACTGGGGACTGACGTAAGGTCCGTGCTTGAGCCGCGGCGCGTCGCGAATGGTGGCCGCAATTGCGCTCGCGAGCATCTGAGCGAGACCAACTACCCTCTCCATGTTTGTCCCAAGAGCGCTGAGGCTCAAAGGGGTCCGCGAAAAGCCGCGACCCAGGCCTGCCAGGGCGCCCGCGGAGAGCGACGGCGATGATGCGCTGGTCGAGGCCATGCAGAAGACAAGTACAAACTCACCTACTTACCAGCCAGAACAGATTGAAGCCAAGGCTGCAAAGCCTGGATCCAGGTTCACTACTAAGCCCGTCACACCGGAATACATTGGCCAGCTTGCTGCTGGCATCGAGCTGATCTTCACCGACTATGCGCACCAGGAAGAAGAGCGGGCCAAGTGGCTTCAAGACCACTACAGGAAGGTCGATGGGGAAGATAAGTGTACGTAGACCCGCGTCTCTGTGTGCCCCATGGCTGACTTGCAGGCCAGACATTCACCTTACCGCCATACTCGAACACCCCAACATCTCCTCCCTCAAGCCCGAAGCCTCCCAAGTCCTCCTCCAACAGGCTCTCCACGACCATCCTTCAAAGATGCTAGAGACCTCGAGCAACAGCTACTACGTCCGCCGCAAGCCCTCCTCATACCCGCCCAAATACCTGCCCCACAACTCATTCCACGTCACTGATGACAACGGCCTGTCGTTCTGGGATCAGCGGACAATATACGTCGAACCGCATCTCCGCAACATGTGCCCTACACCGGCAAAGGTCGCATACTGGCTGACACAGCATGGAGCGCTACGGTCCAAGTGGCTGCCCGTCCAAGCAGTCCACACGCTCTGGAACAGCTGCGCTTTCGTCGTCCTCAGCGGAAGTGTAATGCACGACGACGTCTGGCAAAAGTGGAGAGAGGCAGACAAGCCTGAGAACTGGAAGATCATGACCAAGGTCGAGCATACCAAACGTACTGCCGAATACGTTGCATTGCTCGAGACACAGAATCCGAGAGGCATGCGTAAGAACAAAATCAATGAGAGCGAGCTGCCTGCAATTGCGCGACCAGCTGTGCTTCCTATGGCGGTGGAAATCGCTCCTGTTGCAGAACAGCGGCCGGCCAAGAGCAAGCGTAAGAGACGAAAACCGAAAAGGTCTGGCAAGCCTATCGGGGAAGATGAAATCGACGCAGATGATGCTGAAGATGCACGCGACGAGCCAAGTGCTAAACGCAGAGGATGAACAGCGCCGTTCAGATCGTACACTTTATATGCGCACAACGCAAGTCCTCGCAAAAGGCGAGCGAAACAAGCAGTAGACAGCGCGAGCGGCGACACGAGCTGGAGCTGGACGTGTCCCAGCCGAATAGCTTCGAAATAACGGGTCCCAGTTGGGAGCAGCACCATGATTGTTGATCTACCCCAACTTACCCCGCTTACTCGCTAGTACTGACATCTCAAGTTGCCGAAGCCACCGCATGCATCGTCGACCACTCTAGACATGGGGAGTCCGTGGACCGAGGAAGGCGCTGAGCTATGTGAGGGCCATTTTGCGGCTACTTTAGTAGATAGTATATCTATCCAAATGTACCAGTTGACGACAATGGCTGGTCGTGATATCATCGACTATCCCAAGCACCACTGTCTTTGTCTGTCGGGCCTTGTCTAGTGTACTTGTGCCAATCTCGTTCATCTAATAAAGAGCTTCAAAAGTACCATGACGACCGTTGTAGAAAAAACACCCACCGGCACTATATACCGCGCTGCAAAAGACTACCCAATACCCGACCTCGACGTCTTGACCCTTCTTTTCGGTGAGAAAACAACTGCCTTCATATCATAAAACTCCGAATCACCCTCCCAGAAAACTAACGATACTCAAAAAAAATTCAGACTCGGAACACAGCTATGCCAAAGCAAGCACACTACTACACGTCTCAGCCGCCAACCCAGACCTGGATGTGCTAGACAAGTCACGCGCTCGCACCCTCACACAAGCGACTTCAGCCGCGCTGCGCAAACACTTTGGCATCGGCGCCCACGGCGCGAGCAAAGATGTAGTCTCTGTGATTTCCACGGGACATTACTTGTTACCTGTGCTGGCGTACGGCGTCATTGGTGCCGGGGGCATCTTCTCTGCCGCATCGGCTGGTAGCACCGTGGGTGAGCTGGCCAGACAGATACAAGGTGCCGGAAGTAAAATACTAGTCACAAGCCAAACTACACTGGAGACGTCCATCAGAGCTGCTGAGGAGGCTGGATGGGGGAAGTGCGGTGGGGGAAGGGTACTGCTTATGAGTGAGGAGGGAGAGTGGGGCTTGAGAATTATAGGGACTGGTGACGATAATGTTGGAAAGGCACAAGAGAGTGAGAATCTGATCGACCGGGAAGACAGGTTGCCGTGGATGAGGATCGTTGACAGGAAGGAGTTGGAAGAGAGTCTGGTGGTGCTAATTTATAGTTCGGGGACGACGGGGTTGCCAAAGGGTGTCAAGTTGAGTCATAGGAATTTGGTGAGCCAGGCTGTTACTACGGGGGATATGATGAAGAGCTGGATAAAGGAGAAGAGACCGGATTTTGAGTATAGGACCATCGCTCGTAAGTCATGGCCGTGTTTTGAAGAGAGAGAAAAAAAAGGTGGAGGGTTAGAAGACAATTACCGTTGCAAAACATTTACTGACCTTTCGAATTCCCGATTAGACTTGCCAACCGCTCACATTGCAGGTGTCCAAGGCTACCTAATCAACCCCTTCTACATTGGCGGAACCGTCTACTGGATGCCCAAATTCGACTTTTCCCAATTCCTCGCCTACAACGCACAGTACCGCATAACCTTCTTCTTCACCGTGCCGCCCATCTACCTACTCATCGCCAAGAGCCCCCTCGCAACAACACAATTCGCGACGCTCGAGCTAGCCATCAGCGGCGCCGCCCCACTGGGAAAAGACCTCCAGTACGCCGCGAGCCAGAAACTCGGCGGGCCGACTTGCTTCATCGACCAAACGTGGGGTCTGTCCGAGACGACGGGATCCACGACGATTATGCCCCCGGGCACGCACGATGATACCGGTTCCGTGGCGCCTTTGATACCTAATATGCGCGCGAGACTTGTCGACGACAGTGGGCGCGACGTTGAACCCGGAACACCGGGAGAGGTGCTCGTCAAAGGCCCTGTAGTATGTAAAGGCTACTACCAAAACGCCGACGCGGATAAAGACGCTTTTACGTCTGATGGCTGGTTCTGCACCGGCGACATTGCCGTGTTTAGGAATGGTCTGTTTTACGTCGTGGACCGGAAAAAGGAACTCATCAAGTATAAGGGATTGCAGGTAAGTTGTTGGGAAGTTTCAACTGCACTGCTGCTACTTATTGAATTAGACCAAAAAGCTGACTTTGTATACTAATGTTGTTAGGTCGCGCCTGCGGAGTTGGAGGCTTTGTTACTTGGTCATCCTGACATATTGGATGCGGCGGTCATTGGGGTGCCGACGGATGATGGCACCAACGAGGTACCCAGGGCTTACGTTGTCGTGGGGGATAGAGGGAAGACTGGGGCAGACGAGATTATACAATTCGTCAAGGAGAATGTGGCGGGGTATAAGCAGTTAAGAGGGGGTGTAATCTTTCTAGATGAGATTCCAAAAAGTCCGGCGGGAAAAATCCTTAGAAAAGACTTGAGGGCTCGCGCCGAGAGGGAGAGGGGTGCGAAGTTGTAGAGATGGGGGGTCTTTTTACGATGATAGAAGTTGGGTTAGGGGTCGTTATATCAAGACGAGGCTTGGCTGTTATCGGTAGTGCCTATACCAAGACAGAGTAGTGATATTGACTCGTTCATGTGTAGTAAGGAAAGAAGACTATAAGGACCTCTAGGCTACAGTGTAGGGTTGTTGTCTAGGTTCCACATGTAAGAGGCATGTATTCGACATGTGTCAAGGTACCAGCGTGCAGTTAGGCGAAGTCCGTTTTCTGTTGATCTTTCCAACATGCGCGGGGGGTTATCAAATTGCGACACACAAAACCGATCCGCATCTCGATAAACACAGATATGCATCCAAGCTTGCCATATAATCGTAATATCACTGTGTATTGTGGTGTCTGCATTATCAATGTTGTGTAACGTAGCCCGCAACAAGGAACACGTTGTGAGGCTGTAGAAGGCACTGAGGGCTAATTTCAGGATCGTGTTCTGGCGATCCTTGTCTGCCGACAGCTTCGGGCTGATCACACACGCGGTCCGACGATCAGCTTCTCTACCAGTGCTGCTCAACACAATTCCAGCGATCGTTTTCAGGCTTCAAGTCGCTTTCCGAGTACAAAAGACGTGGTGGTTGCTAAGCTCGCCCTGGCATCATGCAACGCCCTTCCAACGCCTTCCTGTTACGCGGAGGATCTCCGAGCCTACCAGCGTAGAGTGACCACGCTTCGCCATTTCAGGAAAGAGATGTCTCATAGCGTATCTCGACTGGCCCGGCACAACTTACCAATTACCTTAACAAGGCATACACGTGGTATCAGTAGGGTGAACCGCAGTCCCGCCGCGTATGACATCACCAGAAGTAAACACCGTGTACCTTTTGTGCATTCCTCCCGCCCAAGATCAACACATTTCGACCCACCGATCAAGACCATGGCTCGCATAGCGGTATTTGCTCACCATGACTTCACATGCTCGTATCTAATACTTTTTTTCTAGGAACAAAACCAGAAGATCAAAGAAGTCCTTCCTACGGTGAAAACCGAGGCGGAACAGATCGACCAGATCGCGAAGATAAGAGGATGGTTCCGCCCAAAGGAGGACAGCGCTTACTACCTGTTGATCCAAGAATTCCTCAACGAGCAGATCGACGCAAAGGAAGCGACGTCGCGCATTCTTGGGCCAATCGATGAGAAGATCAAAGACGCCAAACTCGACGATGTAGACTTCATGGACCTTTGGAAAA